AGGTGGTGTGTAGTGAGGAGGGCGGAGACAAGGTGTGGCGTCCCAGCAGGAGAGGGGAATCGCCAGGAAGGCTACGGTGTGTAGATTGGGTGTTCGCAGTGTGATGAGAACTATCTGGTGGTTGATTGATGCTGAGGTGGAACGACGAGATATTGCTGGTTGTGCCGATGCAGTGACTGGTCATCGCAATCGCCATCAGGTCATCTGGTGAGAATATCTGTGGTTGGGGGCAGCTATAATGAGGTACGTTGCTCTTAACCTTATCTACCCTCTTCATCACTTCTTACCGTGAGGTTGTGAGTTCCTTCTTGAGAGTCCTCTCATGTGAGGTGTCGTGTGCGCTCAACCTTGAGAGTCGGCTTTGTTCTCGTGGAGCATCTGGAATGAGAAGGCGGTGCTTTCTGAAGGGCCCTGGACGGAGCACTGGATCACGGTCACCATGCCAACCCACCGGGAGTAGAGCACATATGCTTTGCTGCTTTGTCCTTGTCTGCATGCTGCGCTCATAGAAGGGGTACTGAAGGGCCAACCAACCCTATGGGAGAGACGAGTACCGGGCGTCGATAAATAAACACCGGCTGGGGAAACCATTAGCTGTGATCGTCGTCCTGCTGCGACGTAAAATAATTCCTGATGACACTTGGGGCCGGTCGTTAAATTGCCTCTAGATCAGCCAATGGGTGTACGGCTCGCTGCACGCGAGGATAAACACAGTGCAGGGCTGACCAGCTCAGCAGATACTCGGGGCACAGGGGTGGGCTGTGTGCACACCTTTAGTCACGCACGCTAACCGGATTGCTCAGGGACACTGGCGTCAAGTGACAATCAAGGGGAATTGGGGAAGGGGTATATTCCAGGTGATAAGTTTGAGTAAGATCCCATGCTGTAAACATACCCAACAAATGATATTATTTTTATTTTTGATTAGTTAGATGTACTGCCATTGACATATGACCGACATCATAGTTTTGAACTGATTCTGTTCATTATGCTTTCTGTTTGCGAGCTAATCAAAGGGTTACAGACCAATTGAGTTTATGTCTGCACGATTGCCATCAGAAAAGGTCGCCAACATATGAAAGGGAATTCTATGCCTTCGTTTGTGCGCTGGACACATGAAAGCATTACTTGTGAGGGAGACACTTCACCGTGTACTCAGACCACTCTACTATGAAGTGGATAAAGACACAGCCTACGCTCTCTGATAAGTTAGTACGATGGTCTGCATTCATTGATACTTTTAATTTTGAATTGAAAACTATCAAAGGTAAGTCTAATGTGGTTGCAGATGCATTGTCCAGACGTTGTGATTTCTTTGGTACTATTGTCTCTTACTTGGACGTTGGGAGTGGTCTGAAAGATAAAATTCGTCAAGGATATACCACTGATACTTTTGGAAACCTATCATGGATGCCTTGCGAAAAATCCATCTCTACTTCCTAACTATAGAGTTACCGACGGTTTGTTTTTCTTACTAGACCAAACTGAACAAAGATTGTGTATTCCTCATCAGGAAGAAATTAAAAGTTTGTTGATTGGGGAATGTCACGACACTGAAGGACATTTTGGTTTCAAGAAAACTTACGTGGAGGTTAGAGAACGCTTTAAATGGAAGGGATTGAAGGAAGATGTACTAACTTATGTTCGTACATGTCTGGTGTGTCAGATAAATAAACCTTCACACGAGAATCCACTTGGTCTTCTGAAACCATTACCGATTCCTAGCGAACCAGGTGAGTCTATGGGTGTCACTGCACTACTCTCGAAATGTGCAAAACGAGAGTGAATATTCCGCTAGAATATGGAAAGATACACGACCATGATTTTTGTCTTTTGTGCATTGCAGGAGTAGTGCAGCGAGGCCCTATGTCGATGGATTTTATGAGCCTCACCAAAGCCGAAACGACAATAGTATTGTGGATCGTTTCTCTAAATATGCCATGTTTATTCCCTTACCCGCAGCAGCGAACAAAACTTGTGATCCAAAAGTTTCAGATGCGATGGGTGACTAAGTATGGTTTTCGTCTCTCTATTGTATCAGATCGTGATGCCAGGTTCACAAGCATGCCATGGCAAAAGCTCATGGAAACATACGGTACACGATTGACCATGTCGTCAGGGCGACACCCTGAAACGAATGGACAAAGTGAACAGATGAACCGTTTGTGTCAGCAGCTTTTGCGTATGTATGTAAGACCTGATCAGATTGATTGGGACGAGAACTTACCCAAGATAGCAAGTGCATACAGCAGTAGTGTTCATACCGCTACAGGGCGCACGCCTAATGCACTGCACAAGTGGTGGAAACCTAAGCGTCCCATTGATGTGTTAACACGAGACCAGTTTCTTAGGTTACCTGCAGGGACCCGGGAGTATGCAGTATTGTTTCAAGAAGACGTTAAGAAAGTAAAGGACACTCTGAAGAAAGCTCAGGACCAAATGATTGAACAAGCTAACAAGCATCACCGACCCTCAACATTCAAGGAAGGTGATCTAGTCTGGGTCAAGTCCAAAGAGTTTTCGTTGGAAGAAAATGTCTCAAAAACTTCTGCCCGTCTATTTTGGACCTTGGGAAGGTCTCAGAGTAATTGGGGATGCAGAGGGACAGTCTTATCGAATTGATATTCCCCCTCACCTCAAAATTTTGTCTTTCACACGTCCAAATTGTTACCCTATGTAGAAGGAAATGAGTTTCCACACAGACCTTCTATGATTCCGTCAGACATGGATGGTGGATATGAGGTAGACAGAATCATAGAGCATGGGTATTTTTCTACAGGCAAACGTGGACAACCCCAGAAGCAGTTCAAGGTACGTTTCAAATCTCAGGCACCATCTGAAGACAGATGGTTCAGTAAAAGGGAATTACTTGAAACTGCTCCTGATAATGTATCGGCATATGAACATGGGTTAAAGTCTTAGTTATTTCTGCGATGGAACTCAAAAATGGGTCGGCAGGAATGCAGTAACCCGTGTTCTGCAGCAGTCTGGGCCCTCAAACGTAGCCCAGACGACGCAGGCCAAACTTGGCCTGCGCCAGGCAGTGTGACCACGCACTGCCTAGGAAAATCAAAAGTCTAAGTCAACTGTCAAAGGTACCACGCCCAGGCCCTTGGTCGGATACATTCACGTGTTGTGCGCACGTACCCGGATAGCATCAAGGCCACAGGGAGTGCGGTTTCAGGCAAATCTGAGCCGCTATTTGTCTTGAGATCTCGAGGCTTAGGGAAGCAGCAACCGGGGTCCAGACCCCGAGTCAACGCTACATAAGCCTGGACTACCTGGCTGGGAGAACATTCTGTCTTGCGTCAATGCTGACTTCACGCGTTGACTTCGACGCTAGCGAGACGCTGCGATACTGGCTGGACGCTGGCTCTACGCTGGCACTTGAGCGACTACGGCGACGCGCTGCTGGCTCGGCATGGTGGCTGGCTGGCAATGGTCTTCTGGGCATGCTGACGTGGCAGCTGCCATGCGGCGCCGCTGACGTGGCTGCTGCCATGCGGCGCCGCTGACGTGGCTGATGCCACATGTACTCTTGTTGACGTGGTGGGGCTACGTGTCTGATATTGCTGTTCTGATTCATTGTCACTCAGAAGGAGATCAAGACTGTGGGGCGATTGTAGATACGTACCTGGTCTCTCGATGTCGACATTGCTCCAGCTCGCTGATGATGACAGGTTGACGTGCCACGTGGCACATTGAGATAGAACTTCCGATTTGTGTTCGGACTATTGATTATTGGGGTGGCGATCGAGGAGGGAGCCCGAAGCAGAAGTGGGCATTGTTTTCTTCTCCACTCTAAGTCTATTCTCCCTTCTCTCTCTTTCATCTGTGTATGTTTCCCCATCTCATTCTATCTGGACACGATTTTGATTATTGACAATCAGCAGCAGGTCGACATCTATCTGGGCTTGCATTGTTGACAAGTGTCTTCACGATCTGGGTTCATTGCACAGGCAGTGAAGGGCAGCATTCCAGCTTCCCCCCCTTTTTTTTTCCGAGGCCGTGCCAATTTTTTTTTATTTTTTTTTTTGTGGTTCGTGACACGACATCCCACCCGGGCCTAGGACACCCCTCGGCAACCTTTTTTTTTTTTTTCGTCGACCCCTTATTTTCGGGGTGCGCCGCACCCCATGCGCGCGCGTTGTGCGCGGTGCGCGGTGCGGCGTGTGTGCGGGGTGCAGCGCATGTCGATGCGCCGCAAGTATGTCGCACACTTAGTTCAATTTGCTGTTGAACATTCTCTCTCTCTCTCTCTCTCTCTCTCTCTCTCTCTCTCTCTCTCTCTGTGTCTGTCTCTGTCTGTCTCTGTCTGTCTGTCTGTCTGTCTCTCTCTCTCTCTCTCTCTCTCTCTCTCTCTCTCTCTCTC